GCTGCTCGTGCCATATCGGCCGGCAGCGGGGTACCACACTCTGCTGAGCGAGGCCAGAGCTCCGGCTCATTATTACCGCCCCCACCCCACCCCTGCCTACAGGACACGGAGAAAACAACAGTAGAAACTGCCGGAAGACACGTGTCCTGTGCTGTCACGATGTGGCCGGCCCAGGCGTAGTGGGGCGGGGCGGGAGGCCTTTCAGTAGCAGAATGTCACTTACTGGCAGAGGCCACCCCATCCCTAGGTTCCAGCTCAGTGGGAATTCCTCTGCCTCAGTGTCAGATCCAGGCTGTTGTTGGCCCACAATGCAGGGGATGGGCGTGGCCGAGACCAGGGCATCCAGAGCAGCGTTCGTGTGACCCTGGGACCACAGAGGTCGCAGCTGCTTCTGCCTGGTCCTCCTCCCTCCCCACACTGTGTCCAGGGGCATCTGAGGCCAGCATGCCTCCAGGGCCATCCAAAGCAGCATGACGAGGGGGCGGACCCAGGCTGGTCCTGGAGGAAGAGTCAGTAGCTGAATAGAGGAAACTGAGGGCTAATTGGAGGCTTGGGTGAGCCTGACGGTGAGGATCAGAGCAGGAGCCGGGACACAGGTGGGAAGGGCGCCCATTAGGAGTGAGCAGGAGGCCCAGGAAGTGACCAGAGGAGCCTCGAGTGTCCAGCTCTTGCTGCACCCACAGCTGGGTAGAACAAACCCAGCACCCCTCCCCTGAGTGACCAGTTGTGCTCCGATCATCCCTTGTAAAATGGCGATAGTCAAAGCAGCCCCTGCAGGGAGCTCAGTGACATAGGATGTGGGAGTGTTTAGACAAGCCGGGCACACGGCTGGTGCATAACACATGTTACTCCGCTTCGCCTTCCCTTTCTCAAAAATAGCAGCTGGAAATAGTCATCCGGTTTCCTGGCGGAAGTTACCGGATCACCTCAAACACGCACTGTTCCCTCCTCCTCCAGTTTTCACTAATGCCTGACCTTCGAACTGCAGAGCTCCTCCGCCCATGCTGTACCCCTGGGTTCAAGTCCTGCATGTCGTGGATACATAAGCCCTGGCTTTCCTACCTGTCAAACGGGCCTACTAAGTACCCAGCTCCTGGATTGCAGCCCGTGCACACAGTATGGTGCCAGGCACGCATGTCCAACCGTAATTATCACCGTTTTTATTGCTATGACACACCAGGGAGTCCAGTTCCAGTTCAAACCATGGGGGAGGAGCCATGCGACCTGACCTTTACAAAATATTTTCTGAACCCAGGGTGGGAGCCAGAGTGACTCAGGCAGAGAGACCGTAATCCCGCTGATAAACAAGGCGAATTTCACCCTCTGCACAGATTCATTTATTGAGCAACATGTGCAAAACAAAAACAAAGCGGGGTGGCTTCCCTCCTTCCTTTCCTCTCTGGGGCAGCTGCACGAGACATTTCCTCCAGGGCAGAGCTCGCTGTCACTCCAGGTCTTGGAGCAGAAGTTCTTCACCTGGGTGTACACTGGGTTCATGGGGGTGTACACTGGATTCATGGGGGTGTACACTGGATTCATGGGGGTGTACACTGGAGTCACCGAGAGAGCGGTGCCCAGCCCCACCCGAGCAATGAAATGAGAACCTGGGGGGACGGGCCCGAGACACTGCATTCCCACACTCACCCCAAGAACCCTGGTACAAGCCCTGACTAAGGATTCCAGCCTCAGAGAAGCTGAGTGACAGTGAAACCCTCCCAGGAAAGTGCACACGCACCTCTCTTTCCTTAGGTACCGTTTCAGTGCCTCCCCACTCCTCAAGCTTCACGGACCCTGTCTGGGTTGGTGAGGTCCAAGCTGTGCCGCTCTGAGCTCATTACAGTGTGTGCCATGTAATGACGTTTCTGTCAACGATGGACCGTACATACGTGGCCCCGTAGAGTGTAGTGGAGTACAGACCTCTGTTTGAGGACATGTGACTGACAGGGAGGCAGCCCTGGGGCCAAGGGGCCTTATTTTACAGAAAATGAGAGACTGGAGTGTTTATGGGCTGGAGGAAGGGGCCAGAGGGAAGGGAAATGATGGAGTGAGTTCTCAGAGGCAACAGGACTGGAGAGGAGAGATTGGCCTTGGATGGAGGAGGCCCCTTCCCCAGGCCGACAGGATGGCTGGTGTGGGTGGAGGCGCACGTGGCCACTGCCAGGCTGGCGTGAGAGACAGAGCCTGACCACCATGCGTTCTCCCGGAAGCAGAGTGCCATCGTTTGAAGTGAGGGGTCTGAGTTGTGCAGGGGCTTAGGAGAGAGGTGACATTTGGGGATAGTTGTTGAGGGGAACAGTGGAGAAAGTTGGCCAAGGCCTAGTAAAGGGATTATGGGGGGCCCTGGGGAAATGAAGATTGGGGTGTGCAGAGTGGGGTGTGGAGGGGCGAGCAGGGTGAGGCAGCAGGAACTCCGAGCTCGAGGAGATGCGAGCTGCCTCGTGAACCTTCCCAAGTGCCAGAGGGAGCTAGACCGTCCGCAGTGGTGTCTGGGACATTAAAAAGTGATGAGCCAGGCAAACAGGAGGTCACTGTGGATTACAGCAGCTTGTGGGAGGCTGTGCGACCCTGGATGGACACAGGCCGCCAGGCCCTCTGGGGAGGCTCCCGCACAGCCCGGCACAGTCCCTGGGTTTGCCGTTTGGTGTGCTCCGCAGGAAGTGCAGAAGCCCTGGCCCACTTCCTGTCTGTCCCAGGTAGCTAAGGCCTAGCCCCTGGGGTCACCTCCCTTCCAGAGCCACGAGCACAGCACTAAAGAGAACAGCAGCGGCAGGACCAGGCCCCTCCATATACTGGTAGCTGTGGACTGGCCAGCATGCAGGTCCCTCCTCCGTCCTGCGCGTGCTGCTCAGTGGGTGTGTGGCCCAGCCTCCTGGCTTGAGGACCCCTGTTGTCCCCAGGACTGGGCCTGAGGAGAACATAGTACTCATTATATAAAACAAGTGTGAGTGCTGACTGTGAAACTGCTTTCACCACCTCAGGACTCCTCCCAGCCACCTGCGAGGTGAGTTGAATTATTCCCACTTTTCCGATGAGGAAACAGAGGCTCAAGGGAGTAAGTTAAGTCACCCGTCCAAGGCCACCCAGGCAGTACCTGGCAGGCCTGGGTCAGAGCCCCTGCCTCTCTAGCTGTGCTCTCGCTCAGTGAGCCCTCCCTCTGCCGCCCTCACACGCTCTCCGTCCCTTCTGTGGAATGAGTGGTGGAGAAGAGAAAGTGGCTGGGGAAGGGCACAGGGTGGGCACCAGCCTTGGATTCACAAGGCAGGCTGTGAAGTCTCTGCCACCTGCTGGATGGCTTGGGTAAGTCTCGCCCAGGCAGGGGCACTGCACAGCAGGCCACCGGCCGTCCTGGCTGCTGTCGCCGTGGAAGTTGGTTATGCTGGGCGTGAGGGGTCGGTGTCTCGTGAGTAGGGAGCCACGGGGCCTGCGGAACCTGCTCCGCCTGTGACAGCTGGGCCAGTGCCTTACCCACAACCCAGGCCCCACCCCCGAGCCTCCGCAGCCCCCGTCACAGGACGCTCTCTGCTCTGTTCACAGGCCCCTCTGCCAGCTCCAGCTCCGCAAGGTTCAGCCGGAGGCCTACCTGTCCTGACGCGTCTGTGGCTGGTAGCCTCCCCACACCCCCGGTCCCAAGACACAGGAAGAGCCACAGCCTGGGCAACAAGTGGGTAACTGAGCGAGCCCCACTCGGGCTCTAAACGGGCTGAGCGTGGGGGTGGGCTAAGGGGGTGCTTGCCCGCTGGAGCTCTCCCCACCCCATCTGGGAGGGCAGACAATGCTATTGGTATCCCTGGCTGGTGCCCTCTCCTCACACTGGCACGGGGTCAGGAAGAGCTGGGGTGGTCCGGGCGACAGGTCTCACCACTCAGTAGCCGGTGGAGGAAGCATGCAGGCAAGGGCGGGGAAGCAGTGGTGGGACTCCCTCTGTAAGTTTGCCCAAGCTCAGTGAGTGCCTCCCTGTGTAAACCCAGAGTCCAGTGGGCACTGTGTCTGCCAGTCTCAGGGCTCAGAGTCTCTGCTTGCCCATTGCTGGAGTGAGTCTGCAGATCAGGGCATCTCCCCGGTTCCCCAGCCTGTGGGGCTGACAGCTGGGCGACATGGGTGGTCCTCAGCATAGCCAGGACAGCCATGCTCATGTCCCCAGGGTACTGGGCACAGGCTCCTTACAGCTGGGTCCCTCCCTCCCTATGTTCCTGCCTGCCTGCCTCTTCCATCCCCTTCCTTCCTCCCTTCCTCCCTTCCTTCCTTCCTTCCTTCCTTCCTTCCTTCCTTCCACCAAGACACAAGCCTCAGCCAGCCAGGCAGGCCCTGGAGTCGCTCCTGGGCTGGAGGAGAAAGGGGTTGCTCTTTCTCTGCTCTATCCTGCCATGTATTATCTCACTGAGCCCTGCAGGCCTGAGAGGTAGGTGCTGTGATATGCATGAGCCCAGTGAGGTTCAATGCGGCAAAGTACCTGCCAATTGTAAGGTGGGAATAAGGACTTGGACCAAGTGTGTGCAACTCCAGAACCAGAACCAGACATGATGCCGCAGGGTCACACTCCCCCTTCACTGTGCGCCCCATCGCTCACAAGTACCACCCACTCACTCACGCCTCATAATCATCCTGGGAGTTAGGAAGGGCAAGTACAGTTAGTCCCCACTGGACAGATGGGGAAACTGAGGCCCAGACAAAGGCTGGGACTTGCCCAAGGTCACGCCGTGAGATAGGGCAGAGCCTGGCCGTGCTCCCTGGTTCTGGGTGGAGGTCTTTGCCTGCAGGTGCGCCCTCTGCCAGGAGCCCAGGCAGGTGGAACCCTGTGACTCCGTAGGTAAGGAGCTCTGCCTCTCTCTTCCTTTCCGTTTCCAGTATGATGTGTCAGTTGAGTGTAGTTGAGAGTAAAAGTGCGACATTCCCATCGGAGAAAGCGAGGCACCTGCTGGACGACAGTGTCCTAGAGTCCCGCAGCCCTCGCAGGGGCCCCGCCCTCACCTCCTCCTCCTCCGCCGTCACCAATGGACTCTCGCTAGGTAAGCGTCTGGCTGCGCGGCAGCATGGCACAGCCGGCGTGTGCTCGTGTCTGTCTGTCACTGTGCCGCGCCCGGTGGCCTCACCCCGCAGAGAGGGCTCCTCAGGAGTCACCCTGCCAGGGGCTCTCCTTCCTGGCCTCTGGGTGTCACGAAATGCCTGGGTTTGTCCTCATCCTACCGGTGGCCCTGAGCACAGCAAACGGGTGGAAGAGGCAGCCAGACACACACCTGAGACCCGCTGTCCCTGGCTGGCAGCTGGCAGAGCCTGGCCGCTGCCCTGCGGGGCTCTGTCCCGGGAGAGCCACAGGCCCCAGCCTCAGGGCAAAGGGGGAGGCTGCCCGAGGACAGCGCTGAGGGCCGCCGGGTTCTCATGCAGGTCCTTGCTTCACTCCGAAAAGTTAGAGTCAGGGAGGCTGAGAAGGTGATCTAAGGGTGCGATTGCACGCCTAAGCTTCAGCCGGACACGTGCTCATGTCAGCGGAAGGCACTGCCCTGCTGAGGCCGGGATGGGCGAGGGCGGAGTCCTCCTGCAGTGCCCAGGTCACCCGTCCTTTCTGCCATTAGACACGTGTCCTGTCTGCTGGCCGTGCCCTTTCAGCATACTTGTGCTTCTGTGATCCTGTGTCCGTGTGTCCGTCTGCTTTCCTTAACAGGGAGCCCTCCTGGTGCTGGTGGTGGTTTAGATAGTTGCCAGGCAGGGGTTTGATCCAGTGAGGCCGCAGAGTGGAGGGCCCATGGGCGTGGGGAGGGTGTGTGGGGACAGGAAAAATGTCCCACACTCCTGTGAAATGCGGCCCCTGTCTGAGGCAGCGTCACTCCAGGGGACAGCCGTCTCCCAGCACAGAAAACCCGTGCCAGGCCAGGTCCGCGTCCACCTCCACCTTGGAGGAGCCATCCTGTTGGGACCTAGTCAGGAGTGTGCAGTGTGTTCAGAGGGTACACCTGGGAGGGGAGCCAGGCAGCGTGTGGGGTGAGGCTGGCTCAGAAGTGAGCAGGTCTCCTCTCAGACTCTGAAATGCTGGGCATTGTGGTCACCAGGGCCCAGAGTCGCAGTTCCCTCAGGATGTGGCCATGGGACCCTTTCCTTGGCGTGTCCTTGGGATGGTTCTGAACCAGCTGGGAAACGCCACCCAGGAGCACTCAGCCAGACACGTGCTCCTGTCAGTGGAAGGCACTGCACCACTGAGGCCGGGCTGGGCGAGGGCAGGAGCCGAGGGTGGTGTGAGCTGTGCCTGGACCCAGGCCCTGCTCTTCCTGGACAGAACGCTGAGTCACAATGCCGCCCAGTGTACGGTGGGAGGTCACCGGCACTGTGGCCCTTGGCTCCTGTGTTCGGAAACTCAGGGGTTTTTCTGCCTGGAGCAGGTAGCCGTGTGCATGTGCCATTTGGAGCTGAACAGGTCCTCTCTGTCCTGTAACCCCCAGCGGCCTGGGACCCCTCCTTCCCCTTTCCCACTGCCCAGCCTCGGTGCCAGCAGGTAGCCCAGGCCAAGACCCCTGACCCGGGGCACCTCGAGGACTGAGGGTCCGTACAAAGGCACGTGGTGTCAGTGAAGTGGCAGAAGAAAGTGTGTCTTGTGCTGGAGGTGGCCTTGGAGAGCCCCTGAGAAGCAGGCCGGGGGGGCTGGGGGGGCGGAGTTGAGCCCTGTGTGTGTGTCTGTGTGTGCTGGCCAGAGGTCTAAGGGACCCCTCGAGGCTTCCAGTGCTGGGCAGCGGCTCTGACCAGTGTCTAGTCAAGCCCTGACCCTCGGAGAGGAAGTGCTATTTGCTCTGTCCTCACCGGGTGAGACCTGTTCTAGCACCAGTTTTCCTTAGGCCAGAGGGAGGCAGTGGGGGCCAGGCCAGGCCCAGCAGAGGCCCAAGGACCCAGACTCCCGTGTCCTGGGGTGGGCAGTGCAGCCTTCCGGGGGCCGTGGGAAGGGGGCAGAGGCCCCCCCGGGGAACAGTGGGACAGCTGGTGCTTTGCACCCTCCCGGGGCGGAGAGGCAGAAATAGAAGCAGCAGGAGCCCAGGGTCAGGAGGCCATCGCTCTGGCGCTTCTGTGGCGCTCGGGGGCCTGGGCCAGGGAGCCAGAAGAGGCCCCTCCAGATTGGCTCCTCTCGGGTGAGGCCGCCTTGCTCACTGATCTGTGTTCCTTTTCCAGGCAGTAGTGAGAGCTCAGAGTTTAGTGAAGAAATGTCTTCAGGGCTGGAAAGGTGAGTGTGGCCTCAGCGTGGCCTCCCTCCCAGGAGGTGCCCAGGGCCCAGGGAGCTGGAGACAGCTCCAGGCAGAGATCCACCCCAACCTCATCCCATGGGTCCACCCGGGAGGCTGCTCTGTGGCTCCTCAGGACAGCTCAGCCCAGGGGCAGGACCCACTGAGGGAGGAGGGGTGGAGGACCAGCCCCATGTTCTGAGCAGCCCCTCATCACCTGGTCCCGAGCTAGCCCAGGGCCAAGGCCAGCGCCTCTCCCTCAGGCCGAGCTGCTGGGGAGACTGGTCTGAAATGTGGGTTCTTGCAGCCAGATGCCTGAGGATGGGCTCCGCCTGGTGGGGTCTGAGAGTATTGCAACACATGGCCTCAGGCCCTGGGCTGACAACCACCTGCTGGGCTCTGGTGACCACAACGTGGATCCCTCAGCCCAGGGTTCGGCTCCAGCTCAGGAATTCACCTCGGCACCTGCTCCACACAGTGTGCTTTCTCTGTGCCAGGCACACCTGGGCCCTGGGAAGACAGGGCTCTGGGTGGGGATCTCCCACAGCCGTGGGGCCACAAAGTGAAGGGCGTCGTAGTGACTGTAAGGGAGGCAGGGAGCAACCAGTGACAGGAAGGTTACGAGAAGCAGGTTCCCACCATCCTTCAGTGGCCCGCACACACACACTCACACAGTTATGCACACTCTCACACACACTCACATCCTCTTACACATGTGGGTGCACATACCCACACACGTACATTCACATGCATGCATGCACATGCATACCTCACACAGATACACGCCTCACACATGCATACACACACAGACACACACACACTCACACACACACATCCTCTGGTGCTGAGCCTCCTGGTCCTCAGTCCCCATAATCAGAAAATGGCCAGAGAGGAGGTGGGTGCTGCCCAGCAGGTCCTCACAGGGCAGACAGAGGTGTGACAGGTGATGAGTGATCTTGTGGAGCAGTCGCTGTGTGCCAGGCACCGTCCTGGTCTCACCGAGTCTTCACGCACTGCTACACAGCGGTTATCCAGGGGCCCCCGTTTATGCGCGTGGACGGCGGGGCTCAGAGAGGTGAAGTGACCCCGCTTGCTACACTCTGCCGAGGCAGAGCTGCCCAAATCCACGTCTTCCTGACCACTGAGCCCACCTCTCCACCACCTTTCAGGCCTCGTCCAGGGCCATGTGACAGCTGCAGGCACTGGCCCCATGTCGGTCAGTCTGTCTGTCCTTGTGAACCCCTGATGGAGGGCAGGAAGTGGGGGCAGCAAGGCCCTTCCCTCTGGGGCTCCTGGAGGGGCATTGCTTCGCTCTCATTCTCTCAGGCAGGCGGGCCACTGCCCTGGCTCTGGGCCCCTCAGCAGCGGGATGGGAACCAGGCAGGCACCAGGGCGGACTGCAGGTCTGCTGGGCACGCCCAAATCTCCCCGGGCCACAGGCCAACGAGGGGACATCGAGTGGGAAACAGGCATGGTGCCAAGATCCTGAACATCATCCAGACCTGGACCTAATCATTGGCTCCTTCCTTCCTCCCTCCCTTCCTTCCTCCCTTACCTCCTTCCTTCCCTCCCTCCCTCATTCATTCGCTCATTCATTTATTCAATGCCCATTTATTAAGCAACTGTTCCCTGTCAGACACCCCCTGAGGGTCACGGGCTCAGGAGGGAGGGAGGCTGCCTTTCCATTGTCCCATGGACTCCATGGAAGTAGGGCTGTGGGTGTGGCACCAGGCTGACCTCAGCAAACCTCAGGCTCCTCAGAAATTAAAGGAGGAGGGAATCCTCCAGTCAGGCCATCAGTAGAGGCAGCAGGTGCTTCTTTGTGCCCCTGCAGAGGTGAGGGTTAAGCAGCAGCCCAGGGACACTTGGTGGGAGGACCACAGTGGACGCGAGGAGGCCGCCGGGCCTGAGCAGTGTGCCAGGATGGGAGAGGTGGTCCGTGAGTGCGTGTTGTCTCCAAGAGTCACCGCCGGAGAGCGGTGCTAGTGCACCTCACTGAGACCTCGCAGTCTGGACACTGCCTGCAGATCAGAGGGGCCTGCGGTCAGGCCTGCCTGCTGCCTCAGCGACCTTGGGCCTGTCCCTCAATCTCTGAGCCTCGGGTCCCTCAGCTCTGCAGGGAGGGTGCCCACAGGAAGTACTTAGCACATAAGTGGAAGTGCTCCGTTAGGGAAACTCACTTTGGGATGTTTATGAATTTCACTCAGTCGGTACCTCTTGCCAGCAAGCAAGTGATCAGGAGTCTAAAGCTGGGTGGGGTGAAGAGAAAATTCCCCGATGGCCGCTCAGTCATCACCGAGTGGATGGACTATGGGGAAGGCAAGTGTCCTCAGCCCTGGCTGGCCCCCAGGAGGCACTGACCGGGGGAGGAGCCCTGTAAGAGAGGGCTGCGGCAGTCGGACGCACGGGTCCTCTACGGTGTTGAGGAGGTTGGTGTTTTAATTTCTTTGCTGTGTGAGGTTTGCTTGTTCTTAGCAGATGTGATCTCCCAGCCCCCTTAGGGAGACCCCAGGAAAGCGGAGTGGTGGCAACAGAGCCCCAAGCCCGATCCCCTCAAATCTGTGTTTAAAGACACTCTTTCCTTCCTTGAGAAGATCAGAGGACTCTGGCAGATGCCCCGGTGTGCCAGGGTGCAAGGTGCCTCTTGAATCCCAAACTCTGCCGCGATTGGGAGAGGGAGGTGAAGCTCTGGAGGTCATCCTGGAGGTGAGGGTCCATTTCAACTGAGGTGCAACCACGAGAGCGACTGTTTTTAGGGTGATTCTCACAGAGGCTGAGGGTCAGGAATCCCCAGCTTGTGTCCCTCACCTGCCACCTTCAAGTCCAGTTTCTGCAGACCCTTCCTGCCCTGGTCCTCCGTCCGGCTGCTCTGCCTCAGGTGGCAGCCCAGTTGGGTGATGAGCCGAGCTTCTGACATTGGTTTCCCTCTCTTGCCTTGTTCTCAGCAGCAGACACTGAAGTCTGACAACTGAGGCTCCACCCAGGAGCTTAGGCCCCTGAGAGAGGGAACAGTGAGCAGTGGTCCCTGGGCCTTTCTCTTGACCCTGCCCTTGGGCCCCAGCTGACAGGGGCTGGGCCCTGCCCATAAGCTGCTGAAGCTTCATAAGTACCGAGAAATCTGCCACCTCCCTGTCCAATGCCTACCGCCCAGAGTCAGGTCCTAGGCCAGTGATGGCGAACCCATGACACGCGTGTCAGAGGTGACACGCGAACTCATTTTTTTGGTTGATTTTTCTTTGTTAAATGGCATTTAAATATATAAAATAAATATCAAAAATACAAATCTTTGTTTTACTATGGTTGCAAATATCAAAAAATTTCTATATGTGAACGGCACCAGAGTTAAGTTAGGGTTTTCAAAATGCTGACACGCCGAGCTCAAAAGGTTCGCCATCACTGTCCTAGGACGTGGGCCTCGTGTGGACCCTTCTCTGTGGATATCCGCTCTGCTCCCCGCTTTCTCTCTGCAGCCCGGACTTCTAGGCCTGTCAGCTCACAGAGGGGAAGGTGTACGTGTTACGGCTTCACCCCGCCACAGAGCCCAACTTTCAGTCTCTCACATCCGGTTCCTAATCGCCAGGAAAGAATATCGGATTGACTTGGCTCGGCTCAGGTGTCCTATCCGCTCAGCTAAACTTAAAAGTGCAAATGCGGCTCCTAGGGACCCACTCAGCGGATCAGGGACATTGCCCGGAGGAGAGAGAGCGGCTCACAGGCGGTAAAAGTGCTGTAACAAGTGCTGCTGGGGAGACATCCAGGGCCCACAGAACTCGGGCGGCGGCTTCCTGCCTGCAGATGAGGGCGAATCATCAGCAAGTGGCCAGGGTCAAGTGCCCATCCAGGGTTTGCTGGTGCAGGTGGGCCCTCCACAGGTGCACTCCCACCAGGGGCTCCGTGCACTGAGATAGAAGCATGGGGGGCCTATTCCCGCTAAGGCAAGATGACTGAGACCTCAAGGTGATTATTATCCAAGACTTCTCCCTGCCCCCCAACCTCCTAGACCAGTAACAGGGACTCGGGGTTAAATTATGAAATTCAGCCCCCAAGGTACCTGCCAGCTACTGTGGCGCCTAGAAAACTGTCCAGGAAGTGTCCTGCAGGCCTGTCCGGCCAGCCTGAATCCGCACGGTGCTGTTGGCCCAAGCAGGACCCGGCTGCGTCCTCAACAGCACCCCCCACTCTTCCTTTTCCTAGTGCCGTGACCTTGGGCAAGTTGCACCTCTCCAAGCCTCAGATTGCTTATCTAAAAGGTGGGCATACGAATAGTGCCTGCCTCCCAGAGTTGTGTGATCAAACAAAGTAGTGAATGAATACCGCTGAGCACATTACCTGGCACCATCATCCCTTCCTCACCATCGCTCATCACCCCCACCGTCCACCATCGTGCCCACCATCGCCCCCATCCCCCGTCCCATCGTCCTGTCGCCATCCTTACCACCAGCTTGCACACCCTTTGGGACTGAGATGTTCTACTGGGTTGCCAGCCCACAATTCCCCAGACCAGACTTCCCATGAGCAGGGTTGTCTCCTGCAGCCCTCCTCCCTGCCACCCCCAAGATCCAACCCTGGCCGGGGGGTGGGGGGGGACTGGAAAGTGGCCCTCCTGGGGTGCATTCTGTTCAGTCACGTGTTCCCAGCCAGGAAAGGCAGCTGTGGTTCTGGAAGGGCCCCATGTCAGTCAGAGACATTCCAACAAAGCCCATTCAGCGTGCGCTGCACAGAAACTCGAGAACTGGGGCCTCCCAGAGAAGCCTGCAGGGAGCCGCTGCACAGTGCTGCCTCCAGACCTGGGCCCAGTCCCGTGGCAGACTCCACCCATGCGACACGCCAGCCTCTGCCCAGCCTGAAAGGTGTGGGAGGAGCTTAGACTAGAGTCAGACAGACTGGGTCCAGATCCTGGCGAGCGAGGCTCACAGTCCTGTCAAGTGTCCTCACATCACGGAGCCTCAGTTTCCCCATTCTGGGGAGGCTAATGGTGCTCTCACAAAGCTCCGGAGAGGAGTGCATGGCCTGGTGTCCGCGCTCCCCCACCAGCCCTGGGCATTTGGGAGCACCGCGCTCCCTTAGGAAGCGCCCAGAGAGCCTGCTCGGAAGGTGCTGCCCTAAAGCTCCATCAGCACGTCAGTCAGGCAGCCAGGGACTGTCTCAGAAAAGGGGACGGGATGGTGGCGAGGGGGCCGAGGCCCTCCTAGTGTCAGCAGAGAGTCCGCTCTGGTTGCACATTTTGCTGGGGCGCTGGGGAAAGGAGACCCCTGAGAAGAGAGGGTGAGAGAAGGGGCCAGCTTCCAGCTCCACACCAGCCTCGGCTCAGCGGGAACTCGGACCAAATGAGGAGACTCCCCCACACACAGAGACAGCACCACGCAGTTCACTCCCAGACCTGCCCGCTCACAGGGGTAGCCCCATGTGGCTGGGAGGGGAGCAGCTCACTCACAGGGTGATGTGGTGTGACCCCGTTTCCCGGTGCCCAGCGGTGTGGCCAATCGTGAAGCACCCAAGCTTTTCAGAAACTACAGCAGATCCATCGTTTTCTGTATTGCGTCCGGCCGCTCACTGCACTCACCCTCCCACGGAAAAACTTACCTGGAGACCCGGGGCGTCTGTTCAGCGACTGGCAGCTCAGCTGCCCCAGATGTGCTTGGAGCGTGACCGAGGGGGAGAGGTGGGGTGGGGCTTCCTGAGCTGACGCCCACAGTCTGAGAGGCACTCGCCTCCGTCACACCTGTCTCCCAGCCTGTGGCTAACACTCAGCCTTTTCCTCTGAAGCAGGGGACGTCTCTACGCCACGCTGGGGCCCAACTGGAGAGTTCCAGTTCGGAATTCTCCCAGGACCCGGAGCTGCGTCTACAGGTATCCATTTATTCGTGTGTCCGTCCATGCGACAGAGAGCAGTAGGGTGCCTGCTGGGTGCCGTGTGCGGGGTGCCACGCTCTGTGCTAGAGGCTGTGGACGGGATGGACACAGCTGCTGCCTTAGCCCACGAGGCTGCTACAGAAGAGACCTAAACAAACAGAAAATCCGGGGTGTCCAGGTCCCAGAGAAAGGGGTGCCCTGGGAGGGGAGAGGAGGGAGGAACTCCCTGGAGAAAAGACGGGAAAAGAGGTAGGAATTAACCTGATGAAATAAGGGAGGGAGGCAGAGGGGTTATAAGGGTGCCCCAGGCAAAGGGACAGTCCGTGGGCCTGAGGCAGGAAGAGGCGGGAGATTCCACGCAAAGGAAAGGCAGGATCCAAGGGAATGAGAGAGGAGAGCTTATTAGATGAGGCTGGAAAAGTGGGCGGAGCCACAACCGAGGTGGGTGGGGGGTGGGGGGAGGAGTGAGGGGAAAGGGGAAGGATGGTGGTCCAAAGGCAATGGAGACGGTGAGAGTGGGTGTGGAAGGGAGGGGAGGTGGCGTGACCAGGCCATCCTGGCCGTGCGTGGAGTACACGGGAGGAAGGCAGGAGTCGATGCTGTGAGACCAGGGTTGAGCGTGGACTGATCGGTCACAGGCAGATCAAGTTCTGCCGAGCTGGGGGGAGTGGGATGGCTGAGGTGGACAGGCAGGCGTTGCAGGGGTGGAGGTGAGAGAAGAAAACCCCTAGGTTTGGGCTCAGCTGGGTGGGTGGTGTTCCCTGGGGGAAGGTGCAGGCTGAGGGAGGGGTCTGGGGAGTCTGGATGAGGGGGGCGCGGGGGACAGTAAGCAGAAGCTCTGTGTCTGAAATTGGGCTGACAGAGATCTGGGCTGGTGCTGCACTTGGATGCCTTCACCCATAGGTGGCGCCTGAATCCCCATGGCAGAGGGTGAAAGAGGAACCCTGAGAAAGGTGCAGAGCTTGGCAGTGTGGGGGTCCCCTGTGCCCCTTCTCACTTCACCCCACCTCTCGCACTTCATGCTCCTCCAGGCTTCTGCCAACACAAAAAGGGGGGCTGTGTGATCCCCAAGTTCCCCAAGTGGAGAGGAAGTGGTGGTTGGATGGGGTGCAGGGGCTGCAAGGGGCCTGTGTCAGGATGGGGTGCAGGGCTGTGAGGGGCCTGGGTCAGGATGGGGTGCAGGGCTGTGAGGGGCCTGTGTCAGGATGGGGTGCAGGGCTGCGAGGTGCCTGGGTCAGGATGGGGTGCAGGGCTGCGGGGTGCCCGGGACAGGATGGGGTGCAGGGCTGTAAGGGGCCCGGGTTACCAGGAGCTTAGTCACCACACGTGGAGCTCGGCAGCACTCAGGTAGATGAGGGAGGCGAGTTCTCAGATGTGGGGAGCCCAGAGCCTCTTTTCCTCCTGCTCCCTGTGGCCTTGCCCAGCACCGTAAGGCCTCTGTCTGGGCAGCATCCTGGGCCCCGGTGGTGAGAGGGTGTCTGACCTCAGCTCCTGTCGACCTGTCTGACCCGTGGCCTCCTCTCAGCCCCACCGGCCCCTGCATCTGTGCGCTGGGGAGCTCGGCGGCCGTGCCCACCATGGAGGGGCCCTTGAGAAGGAAGACTCTGCTCAAGGAAGGACGGAAGCCCACAGTAAGTCAGACACCTTCGTCTGGAGGCAGCCTGTGGCTCAGTGAGGGGCCGGCTCCGGAGACCCGCCAACCCGCCCAGCCCTGGGTGTGCCACGGAGGGGAGGGAGCTGTTTCTGCATCTGCGAATTGCGATGAAATAGCGCCTGCATGCTAAAGGACTTGGCAAGGATGCCACATGCGTTCTTGAGTGAGATGGAGTCTTCACCCCAGCTGGGCCCCACACTCTCCTTGGACCCGAGTGTCACAAAGCATCCGTGACGGGGCCCTACATCCGGCCTGTGGTACTGCCTGCCTGCCTCTCTCCCATACAGAGTGCCGGCGCAGCCACTCTGAGGCTGGCAAGGCAGCATCCTAAAAGCCATGTTAAAACCACAGACATGGTAAACCATAGCCTAGAAGGACCATATGTCTGCGGGGGGGTGGGGTGGAGTGGTGACAAGAAGTGATGAAATCAATGCAGGAGGTCATGACCTGTTGTTTTTAGTAGAATAGAATGGGAAATGGAGTTTCTTACACCGAGTAAAGGTAAGTGTTCGACATAAACACGCACGTGTGTTGCTTAAACCCGTGGCGTCCTCAGAGAGGTCTGGCAGGCTGAGGTGCAGAGCCATCCGCTCCCCACACGAGGCATTTGCTTCGCCTCTGTAGAACCAGAGGCCCCCCACACTGATTTCCCCCAACCTAAGAGCGGGCCCCGAGCGCCAGTGCCGGCCTTCCCTAGAGAAGCAGAGCCGCGCCTGCAGTGCCGCCTGTGGGTTTCCCACTTCCAGCCTCAAATTCTTCAAAAGCGCTTCCATTCAGTCACCGCCGAGTCCCCCCACCCCCACCCCATCGCAGACATTATGGCCCTAGGCTGTGGTTTACCATGTCTGTGGTTTTAAAATGTTTTTCCCAGGACATTCGTGGGCCCAGGTCACCTGCACACACAGAAATTGTGCCTTGGCACTGCCCTAGACAAGGCGGGAAGGAGGCGCCGAGGGAAGCAGGAGAGGGAGGTGGGCATAGGTTGAGGACAGTCTGCTCCTCCAGGTCCTGGGGGAGGTGGCATTAGGGGGTCGGGGACAGTGATTGGTTGGGAGGGGCCCCTTCCACCCTGTGGCTGTGTGTGTGATCAGGCCCCGGTCCTGCCCCACCACTCGCGGGGTTGTCACTCGGCCTCCTTCCTGTGCAGCTGTCCTCCTGGACCAGGTACTGGGTCATCCTCTCAGGATCCACCCTCCTGTACTATGGAGCCAAGTCCTTGCGGGGCACAGACAGAAAACACGTAAGTCCCGGGAAAGGCCTCTCCGGGCTGGGCCTTTATCTCGTGAGAACTGCAGGGAGTGGGTGGGTGGGGATGGGAAGGAACCGTGGCGTGGCCTCCTCAGCCCTCCGAGGGGAGACAGGGTGTGAGCTCCTGGCTGTGCGTTGCTCTCCAGTACAAATCCACGCCTGGCAAAAAGGTCTCCATCGTGGGCTGGATGGTGCAGCTGCCGGATGACCCCGAGCACCCGGACATCTTCCAGCTGAACAACCCTGACAAAGGTAGGCGCCGAGCCGGTGCCCGCAGCCCCTCCCGCCCCAGCTTCTTCTGCTACATGTAGGCACTTCTGGGGTCGCAGCTTTCCCTTTGCTTCAGGTGCTGATATTTGCAGGGTCCCCTCACTAGTCCCCTGTGTCCACTGAGCAGTGCGCATGGCATGTGGCAGCAGGAATCCTCCTGTGGCCTCATCTGTGGCAACTGGGCCCATCACCCCTGGAGCTGCAGCCTCAGGCTCTTGGAGTAAATAATAGGATGCTGGTGAGGCAGCAACCATGTGGCAGGAACGGTCTTTGGAGATCTCAGGGACACCCCTGTGTCATGAGAATGACAGTGTCCTGACCCAAGCCCCGGGCTTGCCCTGGGCTGCTCCTGACCCTCCTCGGTTTAGTTACCCATGTCCACCCTCTTCTTAACCAGTGGTTTCTCTACCCGCCAGGCAATGTTTACAAGTTCCAGACTGGCTCCCGGTTTCATGCAATACTGTGGCACAAGCATTTGGACGATGCATGTAAAAGCAACAGGCCTCAGGTAAAGTCACCAAAATCCTGCCTGTCACCTGCAATACCCTCTCCCACCCTTGGGGCTCCTGGTCCATAGAAAACAGGGCCCCTCCTTCCCTGGGAGCCGACCAGCCTTTTCCCATGAGCCAGGGCACCCCTGCTCGGCTTACAACAAAGCTTCAGACCAGAACTTTGAGTCTGGTCCCCGTGTCTTGCCCACTGAAGGAAACACACAGAACTATCCGTCAGGGACAGCTTGGTAGGAGGCAGATGCTGTATCTCCCCAAGTTTAGGCGGAAGCAGCTATTTAGGTTGATTCATGGGAAACTCCAGACTGACTAACAGGCTTCCTGGCCCCCACAGTCCTTAGGAATAATAATAACAACAACAGCTAATGTACTGAGAGCCACCGTGGCTGCTGCTGACGGGGTTCTGGCCTGCTGGGCCTGGCTCAAGGCTGAGTCCCACCCCCCACACCACCCCTGCCCCCCAGGACCGGGCATTACTCCAGATGCTTCACCTGCAGCAATAGGCCCAGGCCTCCCACACCCCTGTGAGGTCGGTCCTCTCAGGGTCTCCCTTTCACACTGAGGCCTCTGAGGCTCAGAAAGCGGCAGACACAACTGTGGGGCCTACCCGGGTCTGTGCTTGCCACCCGAGCTCTCCTGCCTCACCTCCCGGGGGCCCTGGCCTGTGAGAGGAGTGGCCGCCCCAGCCCTCAGCACCAGATGGGCAGGCGGAGTTTCCTGACCCTGGGAGTCGGTGGGCAGGCAGTGTGGCTGCTGGTGCCAGGGTTGGAATCCCCCCTGAATTCCCCAGGGATCAGCCAGAGGAGGGGTCTGGGGAGCGGGTTCCTCTCAGTCTTGGAAAGCACCAGGGCTTGGGGGAGATGCTGGCAGCTTTGAGGACAAGTAAGCGTAGCTGGGAGGCAGCAGCCCCAGGTCTGAGGGACCTCAGCAAAGGGGAGTTCACCCCGCACCAGGCCTATGTGTCTGGGAGTGGGGGCCTCAGCTGTGGTCACAGCAGCCACAGATTTCCAGGTCCCTCAAAGCCGTTCTCCTAAGGGCCAGGGCGGGGCGGCCTCCAAGGCATGTCGCTCACTCTGTGCTCAGTTTGGTCCTATTCCGGACCTTCCTCTGAAACATAGGCGAGGCCATAGATGACACTCTGATCCAATCATAGATGATAGGGCTCGTACAGGGATCAACTTGAGATGCCACAGGGAAGCACAAAATAAATTGCATTCGAATCTGTCGACTCACCTGCCTGCCTGCCAGGAACCTGTCCGAGGGGTGTGTCACATGCACACAGAGTGTGCGGTTCAGAGCGCACTGCAGCGCTGTCCGGGATAGGAGAGGAAACCCGGACGCCTCGGCCACCTCGGTCAGTTCCCTGAGCAACACCCGACAGCAGTTAGAAAGAGGAGGCAGATCTGGGTGTGGTCAGCTGGCAGCTCCAGGGTTCCAGTGAGGCCATCTGGCTTGTATTAAGATACACAGGCATAAATATTACCTGTGTGTTTGTACGTAAAAAATATTTAAATGATACACAAGAAACTCTAACTCTGGTTTCTAGAGTGCTTACATACCTTTTTCACATTAAACCAGCAATTTTCAACCAGTGTGCCACAAGAACTTTTAAAACATGTACTACCTGACTATTTAGTTAGGAGCACTGACCTCTTTTCCCTTAGATTGCTAATAAAAAAAAAAAAAAAGAATAAAAAGAAATGACAACAGCCAACAATAGCCATCCAGTGTGAATGAATCAAAATGATACCTATTTTTTGGTCAGATCGGCAAAAAACAGCATATATTTTTGATGTGCTGCAGAATTTTAGCGATTCGTTAATGTGTGCCATGAGATAGAAAATCGCTGAGTTCAACAAATGCGATTGCCTGTCTCCACGATGGAGAGACCAGGGGTTTGGGGTTTTGGGGGCCAGTCACCTCAAGGAGATGCCAAGGGATCAAGGCATCAGGGCTTGAACAAGGTTGATGCCACCTCAGGGCACATTCAGAAGAGGAATAATGTCCTGCCCTCTGCGCTGGTCACACCTGCGTGGCTGGGACCCCCTCATTAGCTCAGAGTGACCTTGAGCAGGAGGCTGGGTGGCACCGGGCCTGACAGGGACGGGCTGCCTGAGGTGGGCCAGCAGGATAGGGGGCAGCGGAGAGCCCCGCAATCTCCCCGCTCCGTGCCCGTGGAGGCACATGGGGTACCGAGCAGTAGCGCCAATGTTCGCTCTCCGGGAGGGCAGCCAAACATGACAGCAGGGACACAGCAGGTAGCAGGGAACTGGGTCAAACCCCGGTGGCAGAGCAGGTGTTTGGTCAGAAGGATGAGTGGGTTGAATTCCATGTGTGGCAAGTGTGGGGTGCATGGCAAGATTTTGCTACTTTTCAGTATTATTGTCCAATTTTTACACCTAGGGGAGGAGGTCCTCTTATTTTTCTACTCTTTTCCCTTTTTATTTCTAATTTACTTTCAACCAAATATTCTCGCTCTCTGCTGTATACAGTAATAAAACGTGGCAACAACTGAACCTTCCAGAGCAGAGGGTCATTTCAAGCCACGTCCTCCGTGTGGGGCAACAAGGAGGCGCAAGGACGGGGCAGGAATGCACCTACTCCCGGGGGAGTCCCCGTGGCCAAGATCAGTCTTCTTTAGGGGGAATCGCATTTCTTACCATTGTTTGTACTAACATTTAAACTCACAACCCCGTAACTCCCAATCTGTTTGTTTGCCGTTCCCGTAAAATGTTATCACACATGTATTGATTCCATGATGTATTGGTTGGGGTACTTTTTAAAAAAAACTTTTTTTATAAAGAGAACCATAACTGTATACAGTGGGGCCTTGACTTACGAGTGTCCCGACTCACGAGTTTTTTGAGATACCAGCTGTCTCTCGGCCGATTTTTTGCTTTGAGTTGACAGAGTAATTTGAGTTAATGAGCTCCTTAACGAGCTCAGTCTCGGAAGAATTAAACTCGTAAGTCAAGGCCCCATTGTATTCTCTTCTGTGACCTGCTTTTCTCCTGCAACATGTTCCTCAGAGTCATCGGTGTCACTGTGTAGCTTTCATTCATTCACTCGTACTGTTTTTTAAATCAGTTCCGTTGGTGAGCCCAGAAATGGCTTCCTGATCTTGCTGTTTCGGGCAATGCTGCCGTCACCATCCTTGTACCTGCCTCTGGTGCAAGGAGGTGTGCTTTCTCCAACTCATCACTCTGACACCTTGACACCAAGAGGGATCTGTCTTTGATGAAATTGCTTCTCATCAGATCTCCTGGAACCCACCCCGCCCCGCCCCCAGCACTGTGGGCCAAGGAGGCCTGGAGCTGGGGGCGTGTGAGCAGCTTCCAGGGGAGGGGCAACACCCTGACCTTGGGGCCGGTGGTCCCCAAGTAAAGGGAGCTGGGACCATGTCATGGAGACATAGCTATTGGAAGGTCTTGGGGTTCCTGATCTCCCCAGGCTTACTCCTTGTGCTTCCACCTGCTAATCTTGCCGCCCCTGTCCCCATTCCTGCGGGATCTGTGTCCTCTCGGTTTTGTTTGGACCTGGGGGAGTGATTGAGAGCATGGCTCTGGTGTCTTAGCCCTGCCACTTATGGCTGTGTACTTCCCCTCCCTAAGCCTCAGTTTCCTCATCTTTATAATGGGATCCTTCCAGTGCCTGCCTCATGGGGTTGTTTGAGGACTCGAGGACACGATGCAGATGAAGTGCTCAGAGCAGCGCCTGGCACACAGCAGTCACTTAACGAGTGGCAGTGGTCATAGTGTCACTATTGTGTGCCCTCTCCCCACCTGACCTGCTCCTCCACAGACTCCCTGGGCAAGGCCTGGTCCCATCTTAGGTTCTGAAGCATCTTGTCCCCATCTGAGAGGTGGGATCCTGACAAAGGCTGAGCTTTCTCTTCTAGGTACCTGCAAACCTCATGTCGTTTGAATAAGTCTTTGCACATGGCGTGACTTCAGAGGCTTCTGAGAGCCCCGACTGGACTGTGGTGAGTGCAGGTCCTGGGCACAGGCCACTGGCCTGGTGCTGGGAGACGCACAGCTGGACTCCAGGGGACGCCGCCTGTGGCCTCCCAGCCCAGAGGCGCTCTCGGCGCCAACCCCAGTGACTCTCATGACACTCATTCAGCAGCTCCGTCGTCCTCCCTCTCTGGGCTCGTGTCCCTCAGCTGCTGCTGCGACCAGAGCATTCAGCCGAGGGGCCCCAGGGCTTCTCCTGCACGAAGGAGTGGACAGTGTTAACTGCGTGAGGGGCCAGAGAGCAGGCACCGGCTGCGGAAGGGGCTTTTACGCCCCAAGTGCACGGGGCTGCTCGCCCACGGGCCCCCTCAGATTTTGTACAACCCTAAGCGTCCTCTGCACGTGCGTGCCGTGTACGTGTGCACACGAGCGAGCGTGAACTCTTCGAGAAACATGCATTTTGGCACAAGGTGCGTGACATCACACACTTCATTGGCTTCGAGGCCCTGCTTTAACCTTACGTGGCAGCCTTGTCCACCAAGGAAGGTCGGAGTGGGAGCCCAGATCCCTCCTGTGTTAAGGGCCCCTTGCATTCTTTTACTGTAAACAACAATGCCTTAAACCGTGTCCTGTTTTCTGTTCCTATGGGTGCTATTCATCTGGAAGCTGCTTCCTGGGCCCGGGTCCCGTCCAGGCCTCGGTGGTGTCAGCTCTTCTGAGACAGGCCCCGGCTGCCGGACTGTGGACTGGCCTGCTTGCTTCCTCCCACTCCTCCAGCAGGGTCTGAAGGCCCTTCTCCTCTCCCTGCCCCCTTCGCCTCCCCACGTGCCAGAAGGGGAATTGTGCCACTTCTCCCAGCTTCTCAGAGCAGCTCGGGCACCACACTCACATCGAATGGCTTCACGACCTCTCCCCGCCGAGCCTCTGCTCCCACCACCACACCCTCTGCCTCCACTGCCAGGCGGGCCACGGGATCCCTGATCACCCTGGGAGCTGAGTGACACTGAGGCCTTAAGCTCCCCCAATATTGCCGCCCAACCCAGTCACCAGCAAGTTTTCCATCACCAAGTCCAAGGGCACCGTTGTTGATGACCATGGTGACAAGAGAGCAAAGCCCTGGGAGTGAGAGGCCCACGCTCCGCGTTCAGTTAAGAGCTCTTCACATGAACAACATCCCTATCTGTCACTCTCATAGTTTTAAGTGACTTTTATTTTGCACAAATACATTTTTATTCAAAATAATTAATAAAAATTAACTTTATTTATGATAGCTTTATCACCGTAGTTCCCCCTCCCTCCCTCCCTCTCTCTCTAACCTGGGTGTCCTAATTCTGAGAAGGAAACCCTTAAATGATTTTCTGAAAGAAACTGAATTTCTGAGGCCTTGTTGCTGTCGTGGTTTCATAGCTCATACTGATCAGATATCAAACCACACCTAACAGTTTGTGGGCAAGATGCTTCTAAAACGTCTTAACCAGTAAACTGTCCTGGGTCAATTTCAAAACAACTACAGGACCCACCCCTGTATTGTGATCAAATGGTGACAACTTTTCTGAAAATTTGAATGAATTGGTGAAGAAACGTGTTGTCATCAGGATCTTATTTTCGGGTCCAGCCTTCCTGTGCTCAGTCACTGACCCTCCTTTGGAGCAAAGTCCAGAGCACTTTCCTGGCTGGAGAACCTCCAGGCGATGCTGCCACACCTTGGCCATCGGCGCTTTGACCGCCCACCTGCAGCTCGGTCCGATGCACGCACCCGATTCATAGCGACGACTATTCCAATCAGTATCTAGAGACTGCGGGAAAACACCAAACACGCCAAACACCCCTCACCAGGACTATTCAGTGTTCGCTCTCACCTGCATTCAGTCTGTTTCTGCCTGTTAGAGTCTTACGTTTGGATGAATGTGTAAGACTGGAACATCAGCTGCTTATTTTCCTTGTATTTCTCCATTCTCCAGTTGTCCTGGGTCTTCTCACATGAAATATTACACACGTCAGTCCAAAGCCCTCAGAATTTCAGGCTCCACCAAATCAGATCATTTCCTGCCCTTTACACACGTGTTTTTGTCCGAGCCTGTTTTGAAATAGCACAATTGCAGTTCTTTCCAAAGTGTTTAGTCTTTCCACTAAGTGAGACTGATCCCACCTCCCCTCCTAGAAATGTTCTTAGAGTGGATACTTGAAGAAGCTGTTTAGACCTCATTGGCAAAGTCCCCGTAGACCTGGTACTAACCTTGAACTACCAGAGAGTTGAGGAGGAAGCTGAGAGGCACTGGGCTCTCCCAGCGAGGCCTCGGGCCCCCCTGGGAGTGAAGTGCAGATTCTTCCCAGCCTCACTTTGCCCCTCAAGCCGCAGGTGAGGAGGCCCCGGAGGCGGGGACAAGCGGGCCAGCCACAAAGCCCAAAGGGGGGCAGTCCCTGGTGGGTTCTCACCCTGCTGTTTGCTCTTTGTCCACGGTGCACAAATGTTTGGGAAACCATTGCGGATGGTATGTCTTGCGTGCATATGCTGTATCTGTGTTTTAAGCAAACAGATCATAACACCCCAAAAGGGAAAGTGTGGAATGCTGTCCGCACACTGGAGTAGGAAGCTGGTGTCACTGCCGTCCCAGCAGCTCATCGCCTCTTCCGGGGAGTACTTTTCAGTTGAACACAGTTTGCAACCCAAGGTCAGCCGAGTGTGTGCTGACAACTGAAATGCTTCCTGGAGGACTGATGTGATGGACAGCAGCAGGAGGATTGTTCTGAGCGTGCCCAGTGAGAGAGCGTGGCCTCTCCTTCCCGACGAAGCCCGTTCACCACCCTGCCAACTGAATTTATGAAGCGTTTCTTTTCTTGCCAAGAAGGCCAGTATTTCTCTCATCATCTTCCTCCCACCTCCGAAGATGTGGATCTTTAGGAAGCTGTTGTACAGGTGGAAAATGGGCCGCGAAAATGGAAGGCCATCTGCGATCAGGGTCTGGTTCCAGGTCACAGGTGGAGTCTAGCACTCCTACCACATCACTAATGCTCATAACCAGGTGAACGCTGCCAAAATCACAGCCTAACTCATTTTTAGTGACTTCCTAAATGACTTTAATCAGCCCCACATCATATTGACATGTTGGGTGAGTTCCTATTTAAAAAAGAAAACACACACACATACACACACACACACTCAAAACAGGAGTCCCTTTGAGAGAACAGATTCTCTGTGCAGAACCACCCATTCATTTGTTCGTTCACATCTCCAGTGAGTGCTTCCTGCGTGCCAGGCCCTCTCGGATATAAATGGCTGAGAACACCACAGACTGACCCCTGCCCTCGAGGAGCTGATCATTCAAGGAACAAATAATCCTCACGCTGCAAGACCCTGCCTGTCCCCCAGCACTGAGTTCAAGCCCCTGCAGATTCCTCCACAGACGCTTCAGGAGGCCCGACAGGCGGCACAGCCCTTGGCCTGAGAGCTCAGTTGCGATGAGGACTGGATGGACTCGCGGGCCTAGAGGCAGGTCGGTGCACAGCAGGCCAGACAGAGCTGTGCTTGGGCACGTGGAGGACTCCGAGGTGGAATGAGCAGGGTCAGCAGTCCACAGTATTTACTTCAGAGGTTCTTTGGTTTTGATTTCCTGTTAAATGCGAGCACAGCATGAGGGAGAGCTGCATCTCTTGAGTGTTGAAAACTTGCACGAGTGGGAGTTCGCTGAAGGCAGCCCGAAGTCCCCTTGCAGCAGCGACGCCATGGAGCATCTGTCCGTTCCGTTCCGTAACCACTAATCCCTTTCCCCATTTCTGAATGGCTGTGGCCATTCGGTAATGAAACGATGGACATTAATTTATTAGTAGGGTATAATCTTTAAGTAAATTTCGTGCCAAAATGCATGGTTTTTCACTTAGCATTCAAAACGTTGCGTAGGGAGTATTTTAAGTATCAATTTCTTATGTATTCTTCAAAGTACGTTGAAAATCCGTTTCTACATTTTAATTCGTTTCTTGTTGAATCTGTTGCCCTCTCCGGGCTGTCTCTTCCCAGCACCCCTGCATGCCATTGTGTAAGGACTTTCTCTGGTTCCTGTGATGTGTCTCACCCGCAATAACACTGAACATCAGCCCTCCAGGATTCTTTAGATTTTTGGTGAAGAATTTTGTTACCTCAGTCTTGTATCACGTTGCTGTATTTTTCAGCTTGTTACACTGATAATAACTGTTTCACTAAATACTTTAATGTACAAACATCTTTGTTTACTTTGGAATTAAATGTGTTTTCCAATGAATATTGCTCAATTTATTAAAGTCACGTGCATTTCACTTAGTAAACAGTTGCTGTGCCAGATACAGACATGAAGGAGGCGTGGGCACCCGGGACCATACAGCAGTTCTCCACCTGTGGGTCGCAACCATCAGGAAACATATAGCATATCAGATATTTACATTATGATTCATAACAGTAGCAAAATTACAGTTATGAAGTAGCAACGAAAATAATTTTATAGTTGGGGGTCACCACAACATGAGGAACTATATTAAAGGGTCGAGGCATTAGGAAGGTTGAGAACCACTGTTAGAACATGAAGGACATAGAGGAGCTGTGGCCTCATGAAGGACAGAGTCAATGCTGTGGACACTCAGGGAGGGAGGTGGGTCGGGACGCTTTAGAGGACAGTGGACACTAGGAGATTCAGCTCAGAAATCTCTGAACACGTGGACAGCAGGGAGGACAGAGACAGAAAGGGGGAGGAGCAGGAGCAGCCAACCCCATCTCCTGGAGTAAAGGATTTGGGGGAGTGATGGGATCCGATTCTGAAAAGATATGTTGGGGTGAATTCATGATATTAAGCAAAAGCCAGAAACCCACTCTAGCTTGCTTAAGAGAAAACAGGCTTTCGTACAAGGTGGGGTGGGGGGCCATCTTACAAGGGTTGTCTCGTGGAAACCTGAGGGGAGGACCAAAGTGGAGTCCGAGGGGCCCGGAGGAGAAGCGGAAGGCCCCTACATCTTTCTCTCCCAGCGCTTCTCAAAGAACTCCCAGGATGCAAGCTATGGAGGCAGTGTGCGCCAGGGAGGGGCGTGACCCAAGTTGGCCATGGGAGCCCCTGGTCCTGCCTGCCTCAGTTTCCAGCTAGTGCCTTCCACAGCTGCAGTAGCTGATTCTCCAAACACAAGCTCCCCCCACCCACCTCATCCCCGGCCCACACACACTCCTCAGGTGCTGCTCCAGTTCCATGCTGGCCACACCTGCCTAGCCAAGACAGGCCCTTCTAACTGAGGACCCTAGTTCACCCCCTCTTCACAATTTAGGTGGCACAGCCACTCACAGCTTTACCAGGTGGGGTCCCAGCGTGGTGCCCAAGGGCTCTGAGACCAGACTTGGGGAGGAGGTGAAGACAGTGGGGCGTGGTGGTTGTCACACAGCTGGAAAGTGATGCAGTCAAGACTTGAATCCACGATTGGTAGCCTGCAAAGCTCCAGCCCCGCGGGCTCACAGGGAGACAGCCGCGCCTCCTTTTGGTGGATGGAGAGACCCGCGAGCTAACGCGGACAGTGTGGTAGGATGCCTGTTTAGCATGACGGTGGGCTTGGTACCTCTGCGCACCGGACCTGGAGCCTGCGGAGATGAAACTGATGGACCGGGGCACGGGT